GATATCAATTAATAATTTTCATTTTAGATATTTATCTACAGTACGAAAACATTCTTATAGTCAAATATTCCTCAGCACTATCACTATGGGGAACAATTATTTACATAACCATAATGCTTAATCGGTTCAATCTCTCCCAAGCTTTATATTTTCTTCCTCACTATCTTTATCAGTAATAATAGTCGGTTTCTCAATTTAAAATACTAAATCAAGATTTAACACATCTAAATTTTGAACTTAATTTACTCATTCCATTATGAGAAATTAGTCCTATTGAGAATCAAAACAGATGTACCATGCGAATTAAAGGATGTAATAAAACAAACATAATAAGTTAAAATGCTCACAACAATAATACTTTGAGTTAATAACACGTATGTATAACTTAAAAATATAAATACAATGTATAACTATAGTATCCCTTTGGGCAGCAACTATAAAATAGTAATAAAGATGCTTACATGTATTTATATGTATATCTTTATTGGTGATACATTATTTAATTAAACAAATAAGTTACCTTTGGATATCCTATATTTACCTAATTAAAAAAACATACAACCCCTTAATTTTTATTTAATCATTTGATAATCAATTCCCTTTGAGGAATTATTTCTCATAATTAAATAAAGTTAATATTCATGAATATCACAATAAATCATAAGTATCGTAATTCATGAAATATTGCAATTATGTCTACCACTAAAATTAATATCTATCAACTATTATGGCTGGGCCACTTTGGTAGCTACCAAACTTTACATAATATGAATATTAAATTAATTAGTAACTAATTCATCATTAATTATGTTTACTACTAAAATTAATATTAATCAATCATTATGGTTAGGCCACTTTGGTAGCAACTAATCCTCACATAATATGAATATTAAATTAGCTAGTGACTAATTAATCATTAATTATATTTACTAGTAAAATTAATATTCATCAATTATTATGGTTATGCCACTTTGGTAGCAACTAACCCACACATAATATGAATATTAAATTAGCTACTTACTAATTCATCATTAATTTATCCATTTAACATTATACATACATACTCATACTGATGATCCAAATTTAGGTAGGTTCGATCCCAGAAATTTAATAGTTCAAAAATTCAATAAAAATATACTTTTACTTTATATACATAATAAAATATATTATTTTTATTTTCAGACTTGAAGATCATAATTGAATTAATTTAAACTTGATTCTCCATCATGTATATATGTTTGGGTACTAAACACTAATTTATTTGCATGTCCAATAAAGTCAAATTTTTAGACTCACACATTATTCTAGAAAATCTAATTTCTGATAAAATAAATATATATACTTTATGTATTTAATTATTTATTATTTATTTTTCAAATAATTAAAAATAAAATCATTCATATCATTGGACAATAATTGGTAAAACAGTGAGTTTCTTTCAAATAGCAACAAGCTGCCATTAAAACTTTCAGTAATTAAATCAGGCTCGAAAATCAAGATACCCAAGTTATTTTGGTGTCCACAAAATTCATCCATAATTATATTAAAAGTAATATATAACAATACACATATTCCTTTTCAAAATCATGTACGAAAAGGAAACTTCCTGATCTTATTATACATGTGCATACATGCATCATTAAATAATTGACTTTCATGCAATTACATAAAATTCAAAAACTATATATGGAAACCAAAATCAACGCACAAAACTTGATCCAAACAAACCCACGAAAAATACTGATCAAAACATATCCATAATGCGGATTCAAAACAACACATTATTCAATCATGCAATCATCGTTATATATTAAATATTATTTATGCAACATTAATGAAAAATAATAAGTCCCTAAACCTTTTGCTCTGATACCACATGTAAACTTTAATATATTCATGTGAACTATTCATTGTAAATAAACATGAATTTCAGGATCTTAAAACTTCATTATTTTTAAGGCAAATTTCTCAAAACCCCCAAAACTATCAATAAGTGATCATAAAACCCCAACCTGTTTCTAAAAACCCCAACATTATTATAAAGTTATCACATTGCCTCAATATCCGAGTCCGACCCGTTAACCGGGCTGTGAAATGACAAATTTAACCTTATCATTTAATGTTAAATTAAAAATAAAAAATTATTATTTTTTAAATTACAAAAATACCATATCTTATTCTTTTTCTTTTTCTTTTTTCTTTTTTGTTTCTTCTCATCATCATCTCCGGCAGCAAGAATACTGCCGGCGATGAAGCAAATCGCCGCCGGCAGCGACCAAACCAGGTATCAATGAAGAAATCAAAGCAAAGACAGCTCCAGTATTGTGTATAATAAACCAAACTGCGTGTCATACATTTGCACCAACACAAAATATAGAGAGAGAAAAAGTAAAGAGATAGAGAGATGGAGAAGAAGCCGTGGTTCAGCTTCAAGAGACTGGGGAAAAAGAGTTCGTGGACATGGAGGTTCAGGAGTTCTGGGTTTCGGTGGAAGAGGCTGACTTTTCAGATTGGGTTCATCAACGACTCTCTCTTTATGATCGTGTCTGTGTTTGAAGCCATTGTTCTGGTCTCAATACTCTGTTTCTTCTCTACCTATGTTGCGGTTGTAACTTCTGAGCCTTTAATTGGAAGAATTGGGTTCCCTGATATTCTAGAGAGAGAATGGGTACGTTGGAGTGAGAAACAGAGGAGGAAGATTGGGCTTGAGATGGAGTAATGGTCAAATCTTGCGTGTGATTGAATGTTCTGAAATTCAAGTCTAATGGGCCTTTTTTTTTTTTTTTTTACGAAGAGTGTAAAGTTTCTCTCTCATTTAAATTAGGTTCCCTGAGAAGAAAGATGAAGACGATGAGGTAGTGAAAGAAAAGAAAGGTGGGTGAGTCATCGTGTAGCATTTTCACTCGTTTTTCTTCATATCTCTCGATAGTTCCTTAATATCTGTGACTTCGAGATTCGGCGCTTCAATGGTGTCATCGTCAAATCTTCATGACGTTAATGCGTACACTTTTCATTGGTGAATCATTCTTCTCTCAATTTTGAAAAGCTTCTGGTCGTCATCCATGGTGCTCACCAGGTCGCGCTCTGGCAACCTAGTTGATCGGTAGAAGAAGGGCACAACCTTGGGCCGCCGATGAGAAATAAGCAATGGTAAGCAGCGACCAGTCCAGTGACCTCGCTGGAATGAGAGGAAGCCGACAGCGACCTGGTTTGGTCGCTGCCGGCGGCGATTAACTTCATCGCCGGTAATATTCTTGTTGCCGGAGATGATGATGAGAAGAAACAAACAAGAAAAAAAGAAAAAGAAAAAAATAATAGTGTTGGGGTTTTGTATTCTTGTTGCCGGTAATTTTCTATTTTTAATTTAACATTAAATGATAAGGTTAAATTTGTCATTTCACAGCCCGGTTAACAGGTCGGACTCGGATATTGAGGCAATGTGATAACTTTATAATAGTGTTGGGGTTTTTAGAAACAGGTTAAGATTTTATGATCACTTATTGATAGTTTTGGGGGTTTTGAGAAATTTGCCCTTATTTTTACATAGTCTATAATGCATAAATAAATACTCGTTGATATAAATACCTCAATTTGTGATTGCAAATATCGTAGAGATTAAGTCCAACTTCGAGATCCTTTTTGCGGAATGAACAACGTGATAAACTGCAATAGCCAAAGCGTGGAAACCGATTTCTCTCTCTTGAACTTTTGTACACATAAATATTATACGTGTTGTTTTCATTAGCGTACATAATTGATGGGATATATACACTTTTATAAAGGTAGAGAGAGGACCAGTTTTCCTTTTTAGTAACTTTAATTCAACTTTCCATCAAAGTAAGGAATAAATAAGAAAACATTTCTCCAATAATTAATTACTATAGAGGTAATTTTTAAGTTGACCAAATAATATAATATTAATCTGATACCTATTTACTTAACCACTAATTAATAAAATATATCACATGTCCAAAACATGTGGGCCACACAATATAAGAAAATATCTTACAAATGAATGTCGGTCAACAAGAAGATGAGCAACCCCTCATGGCCACCTCTACCGCATTCCACAAGCCACAAATCAATTTGGATTCTTTCACAAAATTCCACAAACTTAATCCACTTCAACTCGTACCGCCATGATCCACTTCCTTCTCGTACTGTCCATCTGCAAGTAACCTCCTCCTCACTCTCACAGCGGCTTATTGGGCCACTGCGGGTACAGATCAACCATGGTGGTGGTGATAAGATAGATGGTGATATTGTGTAATCACAGGTGGGTGGTGAGATCGAGATGGTGGCAGTAGCTGTGGTGGTGGGTGTAGAGAGATAGTGGCGTCGATCATGGCTGAAGGGAGATACAGTGGATGGAGATACATGGTGGCGGTGGGTGGAGGCGGAGGCTATTGTTGAGGAGAGATGATGGCAGCGAATGTGGAGAGAGGGGAAAAGTCGGCGTTGGGTTAGACAAGACATATGTATGGACAAATTTGTCATTTTACAAGTTGAGATATATTTTTTATTTTTATTATTAAAATGAATTAAATATTCAAGGGTAATTTCATCTTTTTCTATCTTTTAAGGACTTGTTTGGCTGAAATTTTCTGACTTCATCTTGCTCAGGGGGTGTAACTGTAATTAACCCTTATATATTAATACAATTAACCCTTATATATTAATACAATTACTTAACCATTCCCCAAAAAAAACAAAAACATTCCACCCTTATATAGGAAGCCAAACATTCCACCGTAAACCAGGAAGTTTGATTATATCCAAAGTTCACTATCATAATGATTCTTAATTTATTTTATTAACCTAATAATATTATTAAATTATGAACCACCATATTTTTACCACATATTGCATCATTGCTAACTTACTTGACGGAAAAGAAAGAAAAGAAACAAAGTTCCTGAAAAAAAGAAGAACAGAAACAAATCTATACGGTATCACAGACACACACAAACCCCCCAAAAAAAAGAAGAAAAGCTCCAACAATGGCGTTTTTATCATCATCAAGAGCTCTCACCAGAGCACACACTCTCATGAAGGTGGTCCGTCCGCGGATTGCCACTCCGTTTGCCTCCGCTCGGTCCTTCAGCGCTTACAATTTTTTAGGTTCTGATTCAAACTTTGATCGCATGGTCGATTTCCACTCCAAACAGTGTCCTAATGGCGAAGGTAATAAAAAACAGACCACTCAATTGTTTCTCTTTTTGTTTTTGTTTTTTTTTTTTTTTTTTATTGATATACAACTAGCTCTGAGTAGCTTACTTTAACTTCGACATAAATTGTGAGGGATTTGGGATTTTTAGGGTTAAATTGTAAAAGTGAGAAAAATAAAATTAACTGATGTTGACATGTTGCGATTTTTGACAATAGCGGCTGTGATGTCATTAATTTTCTGTTTGAATACTATTTATGAGTTGAATAACACACTGATATCCTTACCAAAATTATTCATGAGTTGTTGAATAGATATTATACAACATGTTCAATATAAAAAAAGTAAATGTAAAATTATCAATGAAGTTAAAAGTTCATTTGTTTATTGTGATGGTTTAGATTTTTTTTTTATCTGGTTATTGTTAGAGGACTCCCTCTCATAATTTTTTAAGTCAGTCCTAGCTCTTATGGATGATTTTAGGATATTTAAGATACACAAATTCTAATTCCAATTCCAACATAAATAAATAAACAAACATACTACTAATTAATTTTCCCGTGTGTTTTGATGTTTTTATAATTTGTGATTGTGTTGTTTAGCTTATTTGCTGGTGAATATATTGATTTCTTATTTATATACACATCAATTTAAGGGGGGGAGGGGGGGGGAGGAGGGAAAATAGAGTTGAATAGCACTGCTCTTGTGATTATTTTGGAGCATTTAAGATGCGAAATTGACATGGTGAATATAGTTTAATTGCAAATAAAATACCCAATACTTAAATTCTATATGAGTAATAGAAACAGCCCTAATAATTTTCCTTCAATTTCAATTTCAATTCAATTCACCAATTCCATGTATACTAACCAAACATAGTATTAGTTAATTTTCCCATTTGTTTTGATGCTTTTATAATTTGTGGTTGAGTTGTTCAGCTTGTTCTATGGTGAACCAATTCCTGAAAGAAGGGTCATGCATCCCCCATAAGGTGATGAAGCATGAGAAAGCAGTGTATATGAGGTTGGACATGCCGGGGATCGGATTAAAAGGGCTGAAGGTGTGGGTTGATGGGAACTCTCTGCACGTGAACGGAGAGGAAGAGGTGGACAAGGAGCATGAGAGGAAGTATCATCCGAGGAAGTACTATGGAAACATCGAAATCCCTAAGGGCTGCTACAAGGTGGAAGATATCACGGCTGTGTTCAAGCATGGTGTGCTCAGGATCAAGGTTCCGAAGAGAGAAGAAATTATCAACATCAAGGTGAATCGTCCAGCTCCTGATAAAACGGCAAACGCTATTTTACTGTGTCTTTATGGGTTCTATTGGCTGTCGCGCTATTTTGATAATGGTTTTTAATCTGTTTTTTTTTTTTCTTTTATCAATATACTTTTTTTATTTTACCAAAAACATGTCAAAGTGAAATGAGTTTTTGGGATTAATTAGAAGTTTTTCCTATTTTACTACTAGTATTTTCTATTTAAACAGAAAAAGAATACATTCGATTGGTTAGTACATTGCATAATTTGCATTTATGTGGTCCACGTATTGATTTAAATCATGCATAGTCTATAACAAAGACCTACTTGGTAGTTTCTGTCTTTTATGACCAATATATGACCAATATGAATACTTTAGTACTCTCAGAATTTGTTCCAAAGAGGGTTAAATGAATTGCAAAGTGGAAGGCAATATCAATATGTGCCTATATATAGCCCTCTTATTTCTAACAATAGCAAAGCCAACACCGTTGACCACGGTGCAATGGTGTTGGCGATGGTGCAATGGATCTCTTAGGTTTTTTTTTTCGGTCATTTTTTTTGGTCATTTTTTATATTTATTTTATTGCATTTATCATTTTTGGGTTAAGAGGGGCCAGGTCGGATAGGCGTTCCATAATAGTTCAAGATACCTTGGTGCATTATCGTTATTAATGACATTCTCAAGTTTGTTTTATACGCGTGTTATTTTTGCCTCAACCAATTACCCCCATTTTCACCTTCAACCTTTGAGCTTTTGAACTAGTGGAAGAAGAGAAAAAGAAACGGGCGACACAGAAACCAAGAAACCCTACCAATAAATTTCGGATTTGCACCACCTCTTTTGCTTCCTTGGTTGGTTGAACTTGAACCCTTTTCGGGTTAAAATGCTCAAGACTAAGGAATCAGAAGTTCATTGAGAGAGAAACAGGTAGGTCTTATGTTATTTTCTTTATCCTAGAAAATATACTACCTACTATTATTATGGTTGATGAGAAAAAGAAAGAATCATCTATTGAAGGGAGATTATTCGAGATTTAAATTTGATAGTATGATGAGAAACAGAATGAATCCTCTGATTTTTCAGGCAGGTTCTTGCATATCTGAACATGGTCTTATATTTTGTGTGGTCTAGTTACGAGGGCCATCCCAGGCAAATTTTCCATGATTGCCCGGTGCATGTAAGACGAGGGATTATATGTGTCCGGTAATAAATTATGGAGTGTTCTATTATATGTGTCCGGTAATAAATTATGGAGTGTTCTAAGAGACCTATATATATATATATATATATATATATATATATATATATATAAAATAAAAAATAAAATGTTACTGAGGTAATTAATGAATTTAGCTTGCATAAGAAAGTGGAGTTCAAACACAGACCAAGCCATACATGAAAAGGGTACACCATGGTCCATAGAGATAGGAAAGGGTCAGATTGCCATTCCATTGGGGTGAGGCTCATCTTAGTGATGTTAGACCCAAAAAACTAGCTACTTTTAGATATGTTTCAAGTGAGAATTTTTTTTTTGGTTAAAAGGATAAGCTTTATAAAAGGAAAAAAAAAAATGTACAAAGTGGTGAAATCCACCAGAGCTAACCAAAGATACACATTTTGGCAGCATGCACCAAAACATAATACAACTCTACATTACCAAACCATACAACAGAAATACACTAGACATGAGTTCAGCATTTACTCAAGAAAGGAACCAAGAGTGACCTTGTGCATAAGAGCAGCCTTGAATGAAGAGTTGATGTAACTGTTGAAAATAAACTTGATTTTAGTATTTAGTATTTTCAAGTATTTTTGTATCCATGATGCATGTGTTAATTTAGCATGTTAGTGGGTAGTAAATTGTCTTAGTGGGAGTTAAGGTTATGTAAAATAAAGAGTCATGAGAGTTAAGCCTAACAAATACTATGTTAGTGGGAGTTATGCATATTGAAGATTATGTTAGTGGGAGATAGGAGAGTTATGGACATTTAAATATAATGGTTACACATACATATGTGAGGCCTATATATTCATGTACTCTAGTCAAATAATAAATCAAGTGAAATAAAAAGTATTTTCCTCCATTTCTATTCTCTTCCAAATAGTATAGTGTTGTGTGTGTAACTAGGCCACTATTTCCAACAAAGTGGTATCAGAGCCTAGACGACCCTGAAGGCCAGACGAAGTTGATCCTAGAAGGTTCAACATTTGAGAAAAACATGTTTCTCCTTAATGATGATGAAGGGGAGAAAATGTATTTTCTTAGTGAAAAGATGATGTTCTCTAATTACAAGAGAATGAGAATCATCATGACTTCATACCTCAAAGCATGCGATTTGTGGGATGTTGTTGGAGAAGAGCCAAAGAATGGCATGTCCAACAAGCTTCATGAAAAGAAAGAAGATAAGGCATTGGTAGTGTTGCAAAAGGCAATACATCAAGAAATTTGGGAGTATTTTAGAGAGTCCAAAACTCCAAGTTGTATTTGGAAGATGCTCGAGACCATCGTTTCCAATCATAGAGGTGAATCACTACCCATAGAGTATTGGGTACAATGCTTTGAGAATGATGAGTTTACGAAAGATGATTATGAAAGTCTTGAAAACAAAGTTATGGAGAATGAAGAGGTGTATCATGCAAAAGAAGTTGAAGATTTTGGAGATTCAAAAGTTGAAGGAGAATTTGAAATGGTGAATAAGGAAGAGGTAAGAAAAGGTGTTAAAGAAGAGATTAAAAAAGTGAAAGAGGATGAAGTGAAAATAGAAGATTTGGAAGAAGGAAGTGCTAAAGAAGAGGCAAAAGTTCAAGTTCGTAAATTAACAGCTTCAGGTATGGTTACAAATTCCACCTTGAAAGAAGTTATATTTGACTTATTTGATGAAACTATTATTTCTTCATATTCATCAAATAATGCTTATTTTGTGGAGAATGATGAACTTCTCTTAAATAAAGTTGTTCCAAAGAAGTATGAGATTGAAGCCCAGGATGATAAGAAATTCTCATATTATTTTTTAAAAAATAGTTTGGAGAATTTTGTAATTGATACAGGTTGGGTAAATATGGAATTATTTTTTGACTCTAAAGAAGAAGTATATGTGAAGTTGAAGATCCATAAAAAATTTAAGAAGAAAAAAGATCGATGGTGTGCTTGTATAAAGAGGATGATATATGATTATGTGAAGATATTAAACAAGCATTTGAAGAAGTTTCACAAGCCCTACACATCAATGGAAATGGCCAAGAAGATTGAAGCTATTGAAGGAGGTGGAATTGAAGATCAACTATCGAACTTTTGATCAAGCCCCCAAGATTAATAAGAAGGTTTTTCAAGTTACAAAATCAAGTTTAAAGGGGGGTGTTGAAAATAAACTTGATTTTAGTATTTAGTATTTTCAAGTATTTTTGTATCCATGATGCATGTGTTAATTTAGCATGTTAGTGGGTAGTAAATTGTCTTAGTGGGAGTTAAGGTTATGTAAAATAAAGAGTCATGAGAGTTAAGCCTAATAAATACTATGTTAGTGGGAGTTATGCATATTGAAGATTATGTTAGTGGGAGATAGGAGAGTTATGGACATTTAAATGTAATGGTTACACATATATATGTGAGGCCTATATATTCATGTACTCTAGTCAAATAATAAATCAAGTGAAATAAAAAGTATTTTCCTCCATTTCTATTCTCTTCCAAATAGTATAGTGTTGTGTGTGTAACTAGGCCACTATATCTAACAAAGTGGTATCAGAGCCTAGACAATCCTGAAGGCCAGACGAAGTTGATCCTAGAAGGTTCAACATTTGAGAAAAACATGTTTCTCCTTGATGATGATGAAGGGGAGAAAATGTATTTTCTTAGTGAAAAGATGATATTCTCTAATTACAAGAGAATGAGAATCATCATGACTTCATACCTCAAAGCATGCGATTTGTGGGATGTTGTTGGAGAAGAGCCAAAGAATGGCATGTCCAACAAGCTTCATGAAAAGAAAGAAGATAAGGCATTGGTAGTGTTGCAAAAGGCAATACATCAAGAAATTTGGGAGTATTTTAGAGAGTCCAAAACTCCAAGTTGTATTTGGAAGATGCTCGAGACCATCGTTTCCAATCATAGAGGTGAATCACTACCCATAGAGTATTGGGTACAATGCTTTGAGAATGATGAGTTTACGAAAGATGATTATGAAAGTCTTAAAAACAAAGTTATGGAGAATGAAGAGGTGTATCATGCAAAAGAAGTTGAAGATTTTGGAGATTCAAAAGTTGAAGGAGAATTTGAAATGGTGAATAAGGAAGAGGTAAGAAAAGGTGTTAAAGAAGAGATTAAAAAAGTGAAGGAGGATGAAGTGAAAATAGAAGATTTAGAAGAAGGAAGTGCTAAAGAAGAGGCAAAAGTTCAAGTTCGTAAATTAACAGCTTCAGGTATGGTTACAAATTCCACCTTGAAAGAAGTTATATTTGACTTATTTGATGAAATTATTATTTCTTCATATTCATCAAATAATGCTTATTTTGTGGAGAATGATGAACTTCTCTTAAATAAAGTTGTTCCAAAGAAGTATGAGATTGAAGCCCAGGATGATAAGAAATTCTCATATTATTTTTTAAAAAATAGTTTGGAGAATTTTGTAATTGATACAGGTTGGGTGAATATGGAATTATTTTTTGACTCTAAAGAAGAAGTATATGTGAAGTTGAAGATCCATAAAAAATTTAAGAAGAAAAAAGATCGATGATGTGCTTGTATAAAGAGGATGATATATGATTATGTGAAGACATTAAACAAGCATTTGAAGAAGTTTCACAAGCCCTACACATCAATGGAAATGGCCAAGAAGATTGAAGCTATTGAAGGAGGTGGAATTGAAGATCAACTATCGAACTTTTGATCAAGCCCCCAAGATTAATAAGAAGGTTTTTCAAGTTACAAAATCAAGTTTAAAGGGGGGTGTTGAAAATAAACTTGATTTTAGTATTTAGTATTTTCAAGTATTTTTATATCCATGATGCATGTGTTAATTTAGCATGTTAGTGGGTAGTAAATTGTCTTAGTGGGAGTTAAGGTTATATAAAATAAAGAGTCATGAGAGTTAAGCCTA